TGTGGAACGGGACTGTACGTCTCGGCTCAGGGCTACGCTCCCATACGCCACGAGGACAGAGCCAGGAAAGCAACTCCTGGATGTCCACGTCGGATTGGATTTAAGATTCCTGCTCTACTCGAGATGATGAGCTTGTAGTGAGGGTCCATCAATCTGTAGAAGGAGACGAGTGTGTAACTCTTACCTTTGCTGCAGTGATGTTCAGCTCTCTCAGCTGAGCCTTCAGGTCAGAGTTCATCTCCAGCTCCAGCAGAGCCTGCAGGGAGACGGATTAATCAGCCTCGAACATCTGCATTTCTACAGTTGAGCAAACCACTGAAATAAAAGATGAGATTTTGTGTTTGATGGACACGACTGTGCGAGAGCTTCGGCACATCCACGTCCATCACGGCTTCTTTAAAGGTCCAGATTTTTTTAGCAGCAGGAAATTTTGCTCAAACAGAACCAGACTCAAATAAATTATCTTCATGACCCCCCCCCATAGAGTCAATATCCAACACAGTCAAAACCTGATTGAATTTTGACAGCATCACTTCGTTCAGCTTTAGTTCAAACGTACATGATCTGAGGTCTTCTTACCTGGGAGATCCCAGACTCGAACTCGTCTGGCTTTTCGCCATTAGGCTTCACTATTTTGGCGCTGGTACTGAACATGGCCTTTGTCTCTGCAGAGAAACAGAAACACACGAGTGAACCTCTCACACACACAAACCTGCAGCCTGACATGTTAACACAGCTCAGACACACAGATCCTGGAGCAGCTTACGACTTCATGTCTCTTGTATTTAGTTTTACTCTTTAGACGTATTTTAGATGCACTTAAATCTGCTGCAGAATAACTTCACTGTGTTAGAGTAAACAAAGTTTTGAATCAGGCTTAAAGGACTTGAATGTGTATTAGTATGAGGCTCCAGTACTTCTGTCATTTGAACAGTTCTTTACAGTGACAGCTTCGTAGTAGTTCTGGTGGTGAAACTTTCTTCTCATTCATTCTGATCATTTATTCTGAAGCTCTTGTGTTTCCTCTGTTCTCTTTGCTGCTCGATGACTGAACTCCCTCTGGATCGATCCAGTGTCTGTAACACCATGGACCACGCTAAGCTAAAGGTAGCACGCTTCAATGCTAACTGGAGTCCAACGCAGATCACTGTTATAATGTTCACATTGAAAAATAACGTCCAACACTTTCAACTCAAGTATAACACACGCATGACACTGTCGGTTAGCTTAACCACACTTCAACTTGGCTAAGCTAGCCCACAACGAGGAAATATTTAGCTTACTTTAGCTTAGCCGGCTGTCACTTCACGCCTGATTGGAACTGAACGGATCATTTTAAAACAGAAATATATTCACTTCCATTAACAAGGACTCGTGTTCAGATCAGAGTGAATCCAGTGTCCTCCTGTCTGAACACATGCCCGGCCTGCTAACTGCTAACAGCTAACTGCTAACAGACAGCCTGTCCCCGCAGCGGCTCCAGTTTACGATATAAAACAACCATCCGCTCCCGCAAACCATCAAATCTAACGCATCACATGTTTAAGGAACTCTGCGCCGCGTGAAATTTCACGATGAACCATGATTAACGTACATTTTACAGCCGATGATCGCGACAGGCGGAAAAAGACTCGACTCACCTCTGTAACGACGGCCAAGGAAGAGGCCGAGACATCGCGAGAGTTGAGTTAAATCCAATGGGTGAGAGACGCTCAAACATCGCGAGATCTGGAGGCGTCCCCGCTGAGAGCGAGAGTGGTGCGTTCACGTGATGTGGGACTCATCTGTTCTAGTGTCACATGATACATTTAGTTATAGTAAAATAAAAGTTATGTATTTAATAATCAAATATCTATAGACATAATACCTTTAAGCTGTTTACTTCAAGTATTATATGCAGTTATTAGTGAAATGTGTTGGACAAGAAGAAACAGCTCAGCAGGTCAATAGTTAAAATAAACATATAAAAATGAAATAAAACAAGATATGCAGAGTGACTTTCAACTCGGCTTTGTGTTTATAACTGTTTGTGATATTTAAAAAATATATTTTCATATGTTTTTTAATTAATTTGTCCGTTTCAAGTTTGTCTGTGTGATCATGAACAATGACGCAGTGAACGCAGCATTAAGAACGCCTGCAGGGGGCGGTAGTGAAACAGTAACGGTGCCGTCAGACCTCAGAGAGGAAGAAGAAGAAGAAGAAGAAGAGTAACATCGCGAGAGTTCGGACACAAGCTAGCGGATGCTAACGGCTGCTAACTCTATGTGTCACTATTTTCTCCGTCGCGTCATTTTTCAGATTCCAAACAAAACATCAGCCGTGAGGTTATAAAGATGTGACGTCATTCCCGGTGTTGTCATGGCGACGAGGACTTACGCTTGAGTCACTAGCGTGAATCAGAGGAGGCTAACAGGTTAGCTAACAGGAAGCGGCTAACTCTCGAGCTGAGTTGAACTCACGTCCTGAGGTTTTGTCAGAGAAACGCGACTTTAATATGATTTAATATAAAATATCGAGACTTCAGTGAATTTAATGTGATTTAATATAAAATGTCGAGACTTCCGTGAATTTAATGTTTCTGAGTTAGCATCGCGATGGTAGCCTCGTGGTGCGTTCACGGACGGTGATGTTCAGATTCACTGGTCTCTTCAGAGAACTTCGCAGGAGCGTGTGCTGCGCCGCGGATCAGATGGCGAAGGGCAAGTTTTTCTACGCGGTGCAGAAGGGATTCAAACCCGGAGTCTACAAGTCCTGGTGAGACGGCTCACACCGAAGTGTTCCAACTTGTGCTTGTACGGGAATAAAATCCACCGGCCCTGTTCAGTGCGTTTGATTCCTGTGAGAAATCACAAGCCAGACTCCGTTCGGATTTCTCGTTGTTTACAATCTCTTTGTATGTATTTAATACAAAACAACAAAACATAACAAGTCATTCAGTGTTTTCAAATCTTTATAATCCGACTTGACATTCGGCGTCGAAGACAGCACGCCTGCGACAGCTTATTCATGATTATGCTTCATTTTGTTTCCCGTGAGCCACAGGCCAAACTCTATTCAGATCACTCGATTTAACGTGTTTGTATCGCTAACAAATGAAATCCCAGGAAAAGTAAATAATGTGACAGTGTCTTACAATCAGTAAAGCCCACGTTTTAATTCGGCATAAAAAACAACACGTGCTCCTTTCAATAATGATATTTAATTCTAAGTTATTGTGACTCGTGGAATATTTTAGGGTCATGTCACGTTGATAGTTTGCAACAGGCTTTTAAAAGTATGTTGTGTTCGTGAACAGCAGAAGTTAAAGGTTTGGTCCTCTCACATATTTCACAGGAAAACACCAAATATTAACGAGCATCAGAGTTGTAAAACTGCATCATACAACAAATCTACTATCAAGAATAATGTTGAGCTCATTATGCATCTGACACTTCTATATAGCGAATATATAAGTCCTGGGAAGTAGTTTGGATTTTTCACAAAAGAAAGATCCATGATTTCTTTTAAGATTCATGAATTGATCATTATTTTTCTTCTTCCTTGAATTTTTATTTAGGGATGAATGTAAGAGTCAGGTGGAAAAATTCCCATCTGCCTCTTTCAAGAAGTTTGCATCAGAGCGAGACGCCTGGGCGTTCGTCAGAGGAGTGGAACTCTCCTCCCCTCCAGAGGTGAAGAACGGTACGCTGGTGTAGACTGAGTTTGTTTTATTTTCACCCACACGTGTACAGCCTTTGTCCGTTATCAGGAGATGCTAAAATAAATCTTCCAGCTAAATAGAACCTGCACAATAGCATCTGTCCAATCTTAAAGGGCGAACATGACTAGAACCTTTTGTGTTTTTGGTTTTCAGCAGCTCAGAGTTTTGAGCCGGCTGTCGCCCTTCTTCCTAAAAGAGGCCCAGAGCCTCTGGAGTACATCCCTCTGGGTAAGAAGAGATGCCACTCAGATGAGGAGGTGGTGCCCCCCCCCAAACGAGTCAAAGAGACAGAAAGCTCCTCTTCACAAAACTCAGATGGATTCACATACATGGGTGAGATGTTCAAGCTGTCAGTGGAAAATAAGTGTGCTTATCCTGCAAAATAAGATAATCCCTTATTAGTACCACTCTGGGGAAATGTGCAATATTAGAGCAGCAAGAATCAAACATTTGCTTCAGTAAGTAATAATAAAAAAAAAATAAAACTGTAGGTGGATAATCTGAACTGATTTAGTTACATGGTGGTTGACACAAACTCAAAACATCCAGTAAAACTGAACTCCCTCCCTCCAGGTGACGCTGTGGTCGTTTACACTGACGGCTGCTGCGCAGGAAACGGAAAACGCATGGCCCGAGCCGGCATCGGAGTCTACTGGGGTCCCAACCACCCACTGTGAGGAAACACACACTTTACCGACAGTAACTGAATTAAAGACACACTCGTTCTTATTCCTCATAAAAACCAATGAAATCTATACATAAAATATTTGTCTGCGCTGTCCTGCAGGAATGTTGCAGAGCGACTTCACGGAAGACAAACCAACCAACGGGCAGAGTTACGGGTAAACATCTCATCACATCTAATCATCAGTGTTTCAGTGTTAAGACTCAGACAGACATTACGCACCAGAGACAATATAGATATCGCTTAATAATGTGTAAAGTGTTATACTTTCACACAGACATGTCGCTAACCGTCCGTGTGTGTGTGTGTTTGTGTTTGTGTGTGTGTGTGTGTGAACCAGGCTGCCTGCAAAGCACTGCAACAAGCTAAAGAGAAGAACATCAAGAAGTTGGTTCTTTACACCGACAGCAAGTTCACGATCAACGGTGAGATTTCTAAACATGGAACCACGTGTCATATTTCACCACATCTGACCATAAAGGGTACTTCCTGTTTATTTCAACCTGGCATATTTCCCATAATGCAGTTTTATCAGTCGCCCTGTTCATTCTAGAAATTTGGGGAAACAAAGAACAGACATCTGGATGAGCAGCAAGAACTAAGAGACTTTTACATAAATCATTTGAACCATTGGACCCAGAGTCTGACCGAAACACAAACACCAGCCTCCTCTGAGGTCAGGCCTGAAGTTTGTGTGTGTTCCTGCAGGTGTGACCAAGTGGGTGAAGAACTGGAAGCTGAACGGCTGGAGACTGAAATCTGGAGGTGAAATCATCAACAAAGACGACTTTGTGAAGCTCGACAAACTGAACGCAGAGCTGGAGGTGGTCTGGGTAAATTCCAACCCGGACTTATTTATTAAAATAT